CTGCCCTAACAGCCTCCTAGACCGTGGATGCACTGCATCCTACAACACGTGCCTCTGGAAGGGGGGGTGGTTGTCTGCTTCCCTGCTCTTCTTGCTGTGGATACCCAAGGGCCTCTCTGGGGTGCTCTGACCACTGAGGAGGGTGCACAGCTGCTGTGACATGGCTGTTGGGATCCTTTCAGCAGCTCAGGTTGTGTCAATGTTGTATAGAGCACCCAGTGCTCTTGTGCAGGTGTTGGAGTTCAGATTAACTAAAAATTTGCTGTCCTGTGCACTCTACTGGAGTTAGGGAAGTTTGGCATCTCTGTATCCTGAAGAAATGGCCTTTTCTTTCAGTCTGTTGCTAATTAACTTGTAAACTAAAGAGAAAGGAATGAATTGGGAATGGCTCCTGTGGAGCTGATGGGCATGAGCAGACTCAGAGGTAGATGCAAAAAGTTGACTTTTGAGTCCAATATTGCACTATCCTACCTTAGCCAGCACTCAGCACACCTAAGAACTGGGGACAGAAGGGCCTCTGTCCCACTGGGCCCAGTGCCTCTGAAGTGTGAGGAACTGTACTAGTTACTTTTGTTAACAGAAAAGCAAACTCTATAAATCTGTTTCCTATTGATGTTATGACTATCCATTGCTGAATGTTTGTGTGCAGATAATTCTGGTTACAAAACATCTCCTTGCTTACAATTTCCTTATCAAAACTAGAGGCAATCAGAATTCTCTCATGTGCAATTGTATGGGGCCAGGCCAGTGCTACTTTCTTGCCAAGAGTTTTTCCAGAGCAAATAAAAGATTTAGCTGGCATTTATGTAGATGGATTTTTTTTTTTGGTGCTTTTTTTTATTTTAGTGGTTGTTGGGTTGGGGTGTTTTTTTGTTGTTGGTTTGGTTTGGTTTTTGTTTGGGGTTTTTGGTTTTTTTGGGTTTTTTTCGGGGTTTTTTTGGCAATGCATTTGGATGAATTCATATGCTCATCCTGCTTAAGATTGTCAGCATTGTTTGAAAGTCTTAGCTTTACACTGTCTCAGGTAAATGGCTGATAAGTCGTTGTTGAACATTTTTATTCCTGCTTTGGCTGCTGAGTAGTTGAATACTGGTCATAGTTATGTTTTTTGGTATCTTTATTTCTCTGTCAGTGAATATGAGACTAACACTAGCGTCACCAATATAAAATCCTATAATGGTCTTAGGGTGCAAAATGCTGGAAATGACATCAGTGGTGATGCCACCAAGTTCTGGGGTGTTTTAGAGGTGCCAGTGATGCAGCCTGGGATGGAATGGATGTTTACCATTCATTCCTTTGCCACAGCAGGAGCAGTGGGGCTTTTCTACAAAAATAAAGTTCCCCTTTCAGATCTCTGTGTCGCTGTAGAAAATACAGAACATCCTCTTTCACTTTTAGAAGGAAATGATCCTAAACAAAGCACAGCCTGTGCTGTGGCCTCTAGGCAGATGGCCAGTGTCATTATCCTTTAAGGGCACATTAACAGCAACCTTCAGTTCAGAGGCGTTGAGTTGTATCTCTCCCGTGAGCTGCCAGAACGGGGACAAGGCACGGATCCCTCTTGTGTTGTCAGTGCTGCTGGACCAGACAGTGTCAATGGGAAAAACATTTATCCTGCTGTTCGCCTGTCTTCTGGACAGGGATTTGGAGAGGACAATGCTGCAGATAAATGGAAGCTACTGGACTGAAACAACTCTGTGACCGTAGGCTCTTCTGCAGCCAGATGCAGTTAATAGATGCCACCCTCCACTGCATGTTTAGAGGAAGGCACAGTCTTCACAATAGGCCAAAATCATGGCCTTCTATTTGCACCATAATCATCTCTGGAAAGAAGTTTCTTGCTGATTAACATATGCCCAGAAGCATTTGCAATGAATAGGCCTCACAGTTTCGCCTTCTGAGCACCGCAGACATTTGGTCGTATCTTCAGCTGGTGAAAACTGGCATCGCTTTGTTGCCTTTCCAAGTCAATTTGCAACGAGTGAAGATTGGTCTTTCTGTTCTCCTTCACATGAAGGTCATGTAACTTTTGTGGCTTTGTGCAATATGTTCTTTCTAAAGAGAAATGAATGTGCAGTTGTGTTTTATTTTGCAATGTTCTTCTAATGTACCCAGTTCAAAGATTGGGCGTGCTTGACACACTTTCCACCCATTTCTTTCAAATTAATAATCCTCTGATGCCTCTCACGTGATCTGTTGGTCCTGCAGCAGTTTGAGCTTTGATGGAGTAGGAGTCTTTGAACAACAAGGAAGCACTGGAAAATCTGGGGAACTTCTGTTTTAGAGGCTTTGATACTGTGCTGGTACGCTGTCCTACTGTTAGGCTGCTTCAGTGTTTGCAGTCTCACAGGGTCATTTCATAATAGATATGGGAAGGATTCTCACTTGCATTGTCTGCAGTTTTCTTAGTTGCCTGGGGGAGACCATAACTGACCCACTAAGTCTACCCGTACCTTTTTTTCAACAGGATCTAAGAGCAGGATGCTTCAAAGGAACAATGAAGGAAGTTAGAGAAGAACCAGCCCCCGCTGAGGGAAGTTCTCATTCTAAGGCCTCAGTAAGAGAGCTGGGAGGCAGACATTTTTCCACCCCCCTCCTTTCTTCTCTGTGATGATTAACAGTGTCAGCTGCTACTCACTGTGAGCAAAGGTTTAAGAATTTCTCTCACAGATAGTGCAGACATGAGTTGTTCTGCAGGCCTACTGAAATCAGGACTCAGCTTCCTGCCCAGTCAGGCTGTGAATCAAGTCCTCCAGTGTGGCAGGGAAGTGGATTGTTAGCTGGGTGTCCTCCAGACCTGCCTCCAAAGGGATCTTGAAGATGAGAGCTCAGAGCACTCTAGGAAGCTGGAGGAGTCCCTAAGCATTTACAGGAACAAAGTGACTTGAGAGGCTTTCAGGCACCGCAAGCAGTGAGGAGGAAAAGTCTCCTTTGAAAGCCAGTAGAGTTTGGGCTCCAAAACCCAGCAGAGGTTTTCAGGAAATACTGCCTCTTCTGAAAGGAAACCACAGAGTTTTAGCTATGAATCCACAGCTGCCCCCAAGCTCTGGTTAAAGACAGAGTGTCTGTAAAGGCCAAGCCCAGCAAGCCTGGTACAAGCGGTCTGGGAAAGGAAGTGTCCTATAGGACAGGATCTCAGCTGCTTGAAGAATATCAGGGTGCACCACAGAATAATGGGGGGAAAAGCCAGCTGTGTCACAAGCAGCATGAGAAGTCAGATCTGTTTTCTAACATGTCCTTCTGGGGGTTCTTTGGTGTCAAGGGAGAGCACAGTTTGTCAGCCCTTCCCTTAGCAGGGAACCAGCAGAGACTTCGTGCTCTGTTTGGCTTCCCATTTTCTCAAAGTTCATAGGAACTTGGCTTCTCTTCTGGTTGAAATAGGACAACAATTCCCAGAGGCAATGGGGCACATGGAGTTGTCTCCCTCACGAATTGGGAGGAGTGGCTGCAGATCACTTCTGTGAAGTTGCCACTTTCATAGGTCTGATGTCCACGAAGAATCAACTTTAAAGAGAAAAAGGTGACTGCCCTATGACACCGAGTGCATCTATCAGTGCTGTTTCACTTTAAGCAGTCAGTAATTGATCTCAAAGGTCTTGTTTGTGCTTGGTGATGCCTCAGAAATCCTGAGTCACTCTTTACCCGAATTCACCCTGGTACATCTGTTTACTCTATGGTTGTATCATGGTTGGGAAAGTACTCAAGTATAAAGACTGTTAAAATTACCCTCTTCCTAAAAACGTAGTCCTGCTGCTTTTATAAAAAGAAAGTAGGTTGGATGTCACATTTCATGATAAAACACAGCTGTGTGTCAGTCCCAGCATTTCTCAGGTGTTGAGACACAGCTCAGTTCTGCTATCTGCTTGTACTCAGAATCTCCTGGCTGTTAAACTCCAGGAGGGCCAACACCCATTTATGCTTCCAAGATGTTGAGTACAAATTCCATTTATGTCAAACACAAACATCTTGGATTACCCTCTCAGTTCCTGCCCTTGACCCAATTATAGGTCTGTATCAATGGGGAAGGATCAAATGAACATTTTCCCCCCCCAGTTTTTAACTTTGAAGGGTTTTTGGGGCCATGTCCAGCTTGGCTCTGCCCTACATGTACTGCTGTCTATGTGCCTGCATGTCTGTGTCACTTGGATCCCTCTGTCTTTGGTAAGGATTATGATTATATACACAGTTAGTTGCTGGGGTCATCTGAAGTGCATTTGCATTCATTTTGCAGTAACTTGGTCACGAATTTAAGCTCTGAAGGGCACCAAGCAATTGTGTTTATCAGTAGGAGCTTTGCTTGCTATTGGACCCTTTTCTAAGTTATCTTCAACCTCAGTCATCGCTGGCATCCTGGGAGCTTAACATCAGACAATTGTTTGAGTATTCATTAGGCTCTAAGTACTTAAACAGTGAAACTTCTACAAAAGCACCTCTGAAAGCTGAAGAAGAAAAGTATAACTGCCTGTAACTAAATTTTCCTGCTGGTAGCCATAAATCAGGAGGGTTTTAGTGGCTTTTGATGAGCATCTTAATGGGGACTATCAATCTGACTACTTTTAAAGGTTCAGCCATTGTTACATTACTCAAGTGATCACAGATCCACTGATGACAGAGATAAACTCATATTCTGCTAAATCTTTCTCAGGTTATCTGAAATTGTGACCTGACAACTGCAATGCCTCTAACTGCCAGAAGTTACTAGTGTGCATCTTTCCAGGATGCTGATGCCATTTTTTCTTTTGTGGCAGCTCAGCTATTTGTCTTCCCATGTCTCCTACCTTCATTTTCTGCCTGTAGGCAATAGCATTGCCACTCCTATCACATGTGGCCCAGGACACTTGGACTTAAAATTCAGATAAAAGAGAGAAACTAGAAAAGCAGTGTATGAGCCAAAGTCATCAGAATTTTGGGATGGTAGAAAATTTGGGCTTCCCAGTCATATAATTCACTTTCCTCTCTCCAGCAATAGGTGCAGCATAGCTACTTGAGAGTCTCACCCTTTCTATTTTGCTCCTGTTTCAAAGCTAACAGTAAAGAAAAAAGGTCCCCATGAACATCCTGTGGCTTAGGAATGTGAGAAAGCATAAATTGCTAGTCTTAGACACTTATCTTCAAGCAGCTGTCCTGAAGGCTGTTTGAGCTGTGAAGCCCATCCATCACTTCGGCTGCTGACGCCAATGCCACTGCCGGAGAAAGATCAGTCAAGCTGGATTATCAAAGTCAAAGCCAGAGACAGCTCTTGTGGGAAGTGGTTGAGAAAGTCTAATATCTCAATTCCTCATTGCATAGGGAATAAAAAGGGGATTGTGCGCGAGGGGTGGGAATACCCTGTTTCTCATTATCTAAATGCACAGTCTTGAAAGAGAGGGTGGAGCCCCTGTGCAAAAGATAAATCATATTAATAGTTTGTTCCCCTGCTTTTGCCTTCCAGTGCTCTCTTCTGGGAGCTGGAGTCCCAGGGCTTTGCACGTGACCTCCTATATGGCTATGGAAGTAAGGGTGGGTTGGTTTTTGTTGTGAAAAGAAAGAGCCAGACGCGGGGAAATGCAAAACCCAGACCTGGAAAATGGAGTGAAAGCTCTTTCCTCATAAGAAAGTGACCACTGTGGCTTCAGAGGTGCAAAGGCAGTCCCAGATCTCTGTCCCTGGTCGGCAGCACTGGCTGTGCTCCGGGCGCTGGCTGTGAGAGCTGTCACAGCGGAGCTGTCACCGGGGCTGACAGGCCGGCTGTGCCACGGGGAATGGATGTGACTGGTGCCATCTGTCTGTGCCGGTAGTGGGGATCCCCTCCGGGCACTGAGTGGCCATGGCAGCTTAGCACAGGGTTCAGCCTGGGAGCTGCAGCTCTGGTAGGTGTGAGGAGGAACGCCTGGAATTGTCTTTGGGGCACACGTGTGAGCTGAAGGCAGCGATTTGCACTGGTCCACGAGCTGCACTGGGGTGTGATTCACTCACCAGCCCCATCTCTTGGCTCGATTCACAGCATAAAGCAACACAGAAGCCTTTCTTTTGTTTTGTTTTTGTTTGGGTTTTTGTGGTTTTTTTGTTTGTTTGTTTGTTTTTGCTTTGTTTTGGTTTGGTTTTTTTTCATTGGAAGCTGGGGCTTTTTGATAGGTATGGGTGTTCCAAACCCAGCTATTTCTATCAGGACATTTCAGGACTTTTGGAGGGAGTGTGTGTGAGAACATGTTTTTGTAACCAAAACCCATCTTTTCCCACATCTCTGCCACTCCATGTGGGATTTCTTGCAGGGGATGTATATGTGACTCACTTAGATTTTAGGAAAGAAAACATACCTGAGAACCAAAACCTCTTTCAGAAAAGTACTGTGATAAACTTTTTCCAGCTCCATAAAATGTTTCTCAGAAGGCAGGAAACAATTTCCTGCCTCCCTCGCTGTGGTTAAACAAGGCTGAGCAGTGGATGGGCAAGATGAAGCTTGATGGGGGTGAAGGGCCCTGCATGCCCTGGGGATGGCGGGCACAGGCTCTAAGCTGGCAAAAGCCAGCAAGCTCCCACCCACGCCTGCAGAGAACCAGGAACTGCAGCATTGGGAATGTGTCTCAGCAACAGCTCAGTAAGTGCTGAATAAGAAGACATAGGTATTTGCTAAAGGCCAGGTACCTAAATCTGTCTTCAGGGGGAACTTTGTGCAGAAATCCACTGAAAACCAAGGAAGTAGCATCCTTTTTGGACCTGCAGGAGAGACAGTTCAACACTATGTATGTCAATTGAGCTGGGAGGTAAATTTCAATAAAAGAATGGAGCTCGGGGCAAGCTTTAGCTTGCCCTGTGCAGTTTGGTAGTGCCAAGATACCCTCTAAAAAGTTGTTGAAGCTTCTCTGGTAGCAGACTTTTAGGAGCACTGACACGAGGCATAACCACAGTGCAGGTAACGTGCTCACTGCTTCCTGCATGAATTCATCACTGGCTACTTTGTCCCCCACCAGATTTGATTTAAGTCTCTCAAACTGCATTAAAAATTGAAAGAATGGTGCTATTAATTTCCATGGCTGCTGATTGCAATCATCTTGTTGCATTAGGCAGTTCAGTGGCTGGGTCAAGCTGTGGTGTCGTTACAATGACAGAGCGAGACGGGCTGCGCAGGGAAAAGCGAGCTGGGCTCTGCTCCGTGGTGACTCCCCCACTCCAGTGGGTCTTGCAGGAGTGGTTTTGACTTGCCTGCCCCATGGAAGGGATGTCATGTCACAGTGAGTGACTTCCATAATAGCTACTGGTGTTGGCTGTCTTGGCAGAGTGGCCGAAGACTGAAGGCACCACGGGGAATGAGCTCAGGGCTTGCTCTAGAAGAGACCTCTTTAGTTAAGGGTCAGGACACATGGACAGGCAGCAGTAAAGGGGGACTTTGGGATTATTTGTAGACAGACAGCTGACATCAACCTGCAGGGCTGCTTATTGCAGTGTATTTCACTGTGATTTAAAATCTAGGGTATTTTTAATGCTTAAAAAAACCCACCAAAAAAACCCAAAAAACCTTAAAGAAAGCAAGAGGAAGAGGGTCTGACATAAAAGGTTGAAAGAAATCAAATAAGGAGTTTTCCAAGAGTTACATGTCTGGATATTGCTCTGGGTAGAACATGGCTTGTTTTCCAAGATTAGCTCTCAGTTTATGCCTCAGTAGTGGAGCATCTGTACTGACTCTGGCCAAAAGCTCACCTTAACTTAATACCTTGTCCTTGACTGGAACTAGTAATACATGCTTAGGGAGAGCATGAGAGAAACTGTAGTGTGATCCTCTGGCATAACCTCTGGCCCATGGTCCCATCTGCTGGCATCAGCATCCTGATATTTCTTTGGTGCACTCTGTTGTTGCAGTGGTTCTAGTTTTGGGGTTTGGTCTGGGTTTTTGTTTGGCCTTAGAAGTGGCCTGACTGCAGCAATCAAGGCAAGCAGAGCAAAGCATTTCCAAATTCTTGGTCACATTTGAGAACTCTCTGAATTACTGTATGGCTTACGTGGATGCTATGCTAGGAAGAAAGAGGAAGCATTGTTTTGGGTGGTGGGTTGCCAGTGTCTCAGAACAGCCTTGTAACCTCCTGGGTGTGGAGTCAGCCTTGTATCAGGCACTGGTGCTGGTAACAGCAGTGTAATCTGGCCCAGGAGTTATTCCGTGTGCATCCCCTGCTCCCTTTGTGGTTTTGAATTTCCCTAAAACAGTCTTTTCCCAAACTTAAAAATGCCCTTCGTTGCATTTTTATTTCTTTTTGTGGGTGGTATTGTCTCCCTGAGAAATGAATTTGATAGTGAAATACCATGTTCCCATTTCTCAATTATTCCTCTTTCTGTGCCTGGAGACCTCTGTTCCCTACTGTATATGTTTTGATATAAAGTTCTTGTACAACAGATGTGTTACATAGGCATGTGCTATCTATTGACTATACAGCTTCTTCTTAACTGAGGTGTTCATTTACCTGAATTTATACCTGTTCTTTAAAGATGAAATAAGTCCACTTCTTGAGGGTTTGACTTCATCTATTCAGACCAACCCTACTGGTCAGAGCACTCTATCCATTTTTATTCAATAACAGAGTTAAGCTGGTCACTCTGAACTGTCCTCTCCAGGAAGCAGCCTCTGACATGGCAAATAACACACCAGGTGGGTGTCACATAGAGGTCTATCATTTGGATTTACACCTCTCTTCTCTAGGGAGGGGAGCTATTCTTTGTCAGAAAATAAAAATGCATTGATTTAGATATCTAGGCAATATCTGTAGAATGAAAATGGTTGAAACTTAAAGTGGACTTAAAGATATGGCAGCAATACCCCCCTGGGCTGTATGCAAGAGGAGTTGTTGCATTTGGGGAAGAAGTGCTGAGGTATTTAGATGACTGTTCTGTTTGGCTTTGTCACAGAAGGAGGGATGGTGTAAAGGGCCAGGTGGGGGTCAGAACAGCTTTTATGTTTGGGCATGGTCAGGGAGAAATAACATGCTGTACATATTGCAGCTGACACAACAGAGACCCATTTGGCTTGGAATATAGGGCAATAAATGCAGTCAGGTGATTCAGGGGTGTTGTGCATAAGTCTGCCAGGTAGTTAGGGGAGAGCGGATCAGGAAATAATTATGGCTGATAAGGGGAGCTTGTAAGGAGGCCAGCACCTTCTGTGACCATGAAAGGGGTTAATGATTAACTGTTATGGAAAAGCTAGAAGCACATTCTCCCTTTCCTTCGAAGTCACACCCGGCTGCTCTCCTGCATCGTTAACTCGAGCACTGCAAAGCTGAACACAGAGCGCTGAGAGGGAACCAGCTTTAATTTAGGGCAGCCTCCAGGATGTGAATGGGGAAGCTGGCTGATTCTGAGAAGGGCATGGTTGGCAAGGTGCTGTGTCTGCCCAGGTGCCTGGATCTCCTGGAGTTAACTCCTGGGGAAATCCATACAGCTCCTGGGGAAACTTGAGGAGATTGCTGTCCCCTGTATATTGCAAATGAACCCCCACCCTGGCAATGGGCTCATGTGGGTGGATGACAGAAAGCTGTGTGGCTTGAAAATGGATTTGGGGAAAAGATGCAAGAGGGAGGAGAAGAGAAATGTCCTGTACTTGGAGTAGATTCAGCAGTGTGTGACTCAGGTTCTTCAGGACAGGTACACTGACACAGGCAGAGTGCAGCTTCCCAGGACCTGATCTGGGCATTGGTTTTGAACATCTCTTTTCTTCTGTTTCCATATGCAATGATGAAAATGGCAGATGTCAATAGAAACAGCTCTTGCCACTGCGTTGTTGAATGGACAGCCTGTAGATACTTGCCTTTCATTTCACAGATTGTTCTTCCCCCTCTCTGCTCATCCTGCTCAGCATTTACAGCACAGTACAGCCCTAAGGTGTCACCTTGCTCATGCTGTGTGCTCTGTATATTCCTAGGGTTGGCCAAGGGGATGCAAGGATGGGGACCACAGCAAGGTGGCCATGCCTCTGGTTTGGATCAGCCTTTGCACCAGAGAAAAACACCATCTCCTGTGTGATGGCTGTTCCTTCTGTCCACAGCTCTGCCCAGAACACTGAGGGCAGAGCCGTGCTCGGTGCTTGGCAGGCACCAAACTACAGTCTTGAGATTCACTCCATGTAGGGAACTGGCCCTGAATGTTAAGACACTGGTGGTGTTAAATGTAGACAGTGGGAATGGTGCCAGAGCAATAATTCGGATCCTTTGCAACCTTTCTGTACAACTGTTAGAGTGTTTGCTAGTGATTGTACTTGATTAATGCTATCTAATTAATTTTTATTGATTAGGTCATGTTTAGTGATTAGTGTCTTGGTTTCAGCTGGGATAGAGTTAATTTTCTTCCTAGCAGCTGGCACAGTGCTGTGTTTTGGATTTAGAATGAGAATAATGTTGATAACAAGAAAGATGGAGAGGTAATTTTTGCAAGAGCATGTAGTGACAGGACTGGGGGGAATGGCTTCAAACTGACAGAGGGCAGGGTTAGATTAGACATTAGGAAAAACATTCTTCTCTGTGAGAGTGGTGAGGCACTGCCACAGGTTGTCCAGAGAAGTTGTGGATGCCCCATCCCTGGAAGTGTTCAAAGCCAAGTTGGATGGAGCTCTGAGCAACCTGGTCCACTGAAAAGGGTCCCCGCCCATGGCAGGGAGGTTGGTACTAAATGATCTTTTAGGTTTCTTCCAACCCAAACCATTTTGTGATTCTGTGATAGCCCACTGATGTTTTAGTTGTTGCTGAACAGAGCTTGCACAGAGTCAGGGACTTTTCAGCTCCTCACCCCACCAGTGAGGAGGTTTGGGAGCACAAGAAGCTGGGAGGGGTCACAGCCAGGACAGCTGATCCCAAGTGGCCCAAGGGATATTCCAGCCTATGTGACACCATGCTCAGTGTAGGCACTGTGGGAAAGCTGCTCAGGAACTGGGCATTGGTAAGCGGCTGGTGAGCAGTTGCTTTGTATATTCAACTTTAATTTTACTTACTATTATCCCTTCCATGTCTGTGTTATTAAAATGTGTTTATCCCTACCTATGAATTTTACTTTTTTTCCCCCTAATTCTCTCCCCCATCCTACTGTGGGGGGGGAGAGAGCAGGTGGAGTTGTTGTGTTCAGCAACCTACCAGTTTAAACCACGACAGGGCCAGCTATAACCCTCTGCACAGCCCACCTGCAGTTAGCACCAATTTTCTCTGCTCACATTTGCCCCTGACAAGACAAGGTGCTGCCAACCCCACGGACCCACTGTGCTGAGCCCACATGGCATGTAAAGGTGTGTTGTCAGGCCAGGGGCAGTGGGGGCAAATCCAGGGGCAGTGGGGGCAAATCCATGAACTGTTGTTGGGACTGTTGTTGCTGTATGTGTTGGATAATCTTGGCCAAGATCCAGACTCCATCACCATTTCTGAGAAAATGACGTCATTAATGTATCGTTGTAATCGATAGGCCATGGCCCTGATTCAGCAAGACACTTAAGTGCACAGCCAGTATCCATCACACAGTCTGGGACCTGGATGAGTTGCTTTATTTTTTTAAGAACTTGCTTTCACATTTAAAATTGGATTTGTGCTAAACTGAGGCTTTTGTGCCTACAAAGAGCGGCAGCCACGTCCTGGCCATGAGGTGCCATGTGCTCACAGTACAAATAGGGCCTCAAAGCTGGGAGAACAAAAAGCTGAGAAAAGCCCAGAAAAGGGAGAGTCTGTTACCAAACAGTGCTTTTGGCCTCTTATGGCCCTCCTTACCCACACAGAAGGCTGATGCAGAGATCACAGATTTTGGAGTGGAAGGTGTGAACTTGGCTAAATTACATTTGGCTGTCCTTAGTGCTGGCTGAGCACTCAGTGTCCAGGAGACAAAGGGAGAGACATAACCTGCTTAAATGGGGGAAAAAGTGATTGGGGATTTCTTAAAGTGATTGGGGATTTCTTACAATGAATACTGGAGGGAAGTAGGAGCTTGGATTTATTTTCAATGCACATCTTAAATGAATCCTTCCAAGGATTTTTTTTCCCCTTAACATTCTTATTTTTAAAAAATTCTGTAATTTTGAAAGTGTTTCTTTTGGTGTGTTTTTGGGTTTGTGGTTTGTTTTTGTTTTTTGGTTTTTTTTTTTAAAGGATGATTTAGGA